CAGAAGATAGACTTGGCAACCATCCACACTTACAAAAGACATCAGGACCAAATTATTAGGAGCACAGAGTTCTACATGGGAACACATGCTCCTTTTTAATTATTTTTTCACTTTTTACTTTTTATTTTTTTAATTTTTAGTTTTTAATCTTTTTTAAAATTCTCTTTTCTTTTAAAATATTTAAATTAATTTTTATATTTGTCTCAATTTGATCTATATTTCCCTTTGCTTTGTTCTTCTGTTATTGATTATACTCTGCTTCCAATCTTTTTTCTTTAATTTTAAATTAAAAATAATTTGTCTCAATTTGAATTTGTTTCTCTTAGTTTTTTCTTCTGTTATTATATTGTTTGCAATTTTTTCTCTTAAATTTTTAAAATTTGTCTCAATTTGAATTTATTTCTCTTTGTTTTCTTCTGTTATGGATTATAATCTGTTTTCAAATCTTTTTTCTTTCAAAACTTTTTAATTAAAAAATTGTTTCAATTTGAATTTATTTCTCTTTGTTTTATTCTTCTGTCATTGATTATATTCCATTTTTAAATCTTTTCTTCTTTTTTTTAATTATTTGTTGTTGATGGTGGTGTTTTGCTCTGCTTTGGGCTACTTTTTGTTTGTTTTTAATTTTATTTCTGAATCTGCTTTAAATAAATAAATAAATAAATACCTTAAGGACCAAAGTAGATAACTGATACTCTATAATCCATAGTGCTGGAGAGATATAAGTCAAATGAATAAGCACTGAAGCACTCCTAATTAAAAGAATAAGAGAAACCCCCTGAAAGAGTGATCAATGAAAGACCTTGATAGTCAACTAGATCATGATTTCAAAAAAGGAGTGATCAAAGTACTGAAGGAACTAAAAGAGATTCTGAATAGAGACAAGATACATCAAAAAGGAAATTGAAAATATAAAGAGGAGCCAATTAAAAATGGGAGACTCATTTGCTGAGATAAAAACTGAGCTAAAGGCTGTAAAAAGCAGGCTAGATAATGGAAAGGAACTAATAAGCGATTTAGAAAACGGGATAACAGAAGTCACCAAATCAGAACAGCAGAGAGAAAAACAAGTAAAAACCAATGAAAATAATATAAGGGACTTATGGGATAATATAAAGTGTGTAAAACTATACAAAATAGGGCTCCCAGAAGGAGAAGAAAGAGCAAAGGGGATTGAAAAGGTATTTGAAGAAATCAAGACTGAAAACCACCCAAACTTAAAGAAGGAATCAGATATACAAGTACAGGAAGCACAGAAGGCCCCGAACAAGCTGAACTCAAACAGACCCACACTAAGACATAT